AAATTATATTAAAAATTTCAAATCATGTCAAACCGGTAACTCAAAAAGTTAGAATTTCTTATTAAAAGAAAAAAAAAGAAGAAAGAAAGAGTTTGACTAAAGTTTTTTTTTTTTTTTTTGGTGAAAGTTTGACTAAAGATTTAAAATTGTGCTTTGTGAATCAATATTCTGGCTAATAATACTGCTTTTGGGTTGAAAACTGGGAAGGTCAAGTCAAACACAGCGTTGGTTTGTCCCTTTTTCTTTTTTTTTTTTCTATTAACCATCAAGTCAGACACAACTAAATACTAAAAAAAAAAAAGTTCAACCATACAATATATATAATATACGTTGACCAAAAAAACCATGACAAAATAATGGCTGCCAGTTTTGTCTTTTTATCAATCAAGATAAATTTGTTATTAATATAGGATACAAGAAATATTTCAAAATTATTTATAAAATAATTTTTTTTTTTTATCAATAAAGATCACCTATACAGCATTTCCACCAACCATCAGTATTTTACTCTAACTAGTGCTCATCAATCGGCGTCTAAAAAGTGTTCATCAATCAATCTACTAAAGTGGTCTATGATTTGCATACCTTACTAGGTGAGTTGTACCAGCAGTCCTTAGAAAGTTCAGGCAGCAGCTTAGCCTTAATCCAGTTATATATGACCTGAAGTTTATCAGCTTAATCACCGTGTTCTACATTGTGTTTTCCCCCTTGAAAATTATTTGATCCCTCCACAGCCAAATAGACCATATTTTATTGCAAATTAACCAAATCGCCAGCCATACGTTTTTGATATTTTTCCTTGTAAACATGCCAGCATGCTAGCTGCTTCAAGTGTTTCCAACTTGTCCCCTGAGTGGCGACCTTGACACCACACCACTCATAACAGGCAGCAGCCCATGCCTCCCATGCTTTTTCACATGTAAACAAAAAGGTGGTCGGTTGTTTCAAGTTGGCTCCCACACAGAACACACCTCATATCTTCGCCTTCCTTTTTCAGACCTCTTTTTGCCATACTATCCGCGGTAGGAAGTCTCTCTTGGTTCACCTTCCAGGCAAATACAGCAACCTTCATTGGAACATTCTTGCGCCATAACAGCTTATATCTCCTCGGGTTCCTCGTGTGTTGTATCATTGATAATGTTTTGTATGCTGAGCGGACCGAAGAGCAGCTTTTTGAGTCGTATCTGCAACTCCAGGATCAGTCTTTCCAAATCTTGGTTTTTGACTTTCCACCAGGCTTGTCAAATCCTGCAAAAGGTTAATTTTCCATGCGAAAAGTTTCCTTCTCCACCCCTATGCCCAAGACCAGGTCCCATCCTTCCACTGCCCCACCCTACCTGCTACTTCTTTATCTCTTGAGACATTAAACAACCTCAGAAAATTTTCATTCAATGATTCATCCCAGCACCCTATATCCTTCCAAAAATGTGTCTCACTGCCATCCCCCACCTCTCTCACAATTCCACTCCTTAGCCAGCCTTCCATTCCCTCTAATTCATTGTCTAATGGCTATCAGTTGAGTGTCAATCCCAAAACTAATACCATATTTCCCCTTATACTTGAGTTCCCTCTTTATGTCAAACAATAAAAAGAGGACCCTAAAATGGGAGAAAAGCTTACACTTTTTTGCAGTCCAACACAAAACAGACTGCATAAAATATTTTTATAAAATTAAACAAAATTATTCAGCGTAGTTTGAGTTGTGTTGAAATATATTAAATTAATACTTAAACAACAAGTGGGCTTTCTAATATTAGGGTGATTCCCTGTTAAAGGATCCAGTATAATTTGAACCATCAAAAGGGGATTCAAAATTAAATTAAAAAAACTATAAAAATGCATTTTTTTATGTAATAAATTGATCTAATTTTTTTAATAATAATTTTTCATGAACCTGATAAGATAAGAAATTTTTATATATAAAGAAAAAAAAAGTTGAAAATGAAATTAATTCATTCCTATTTTATGTAATAAAATAATTGTTATTTTTTTTATTTTTTATCACTAATCCAAAATTAAATTCAGTCAAACCTCATAACAGATAAATTTCTCTTATTATTTTTCATTTAAAAGATTTAAATTTAAAATTTTATTAAAAAAAAATCAAACTCTTTCCATTTAAATTAACATATTGTTGGTAATAAACATCACTTTTTCAAAATACTAACATAAAAGTATATGAAGTCAGTTTCATTTTTTTCCCTCTTGGGTTAGCGTCTTTATTGTTCTAATTTTAGGGGCATATTTTATTATAGATTTTTTTAACAAAAGAGATTATAAGGACATGTGAAAATATAAAATGAAATAAAGTAAAATTTTTTAAAAAAAGTTCAATTAATTTGATATAAACACATCTAACGTCTATGGAAAATCACCATTTTTAAGTGCGCGACGCGGGTCGAGTCTGGATTAGTTAGAGCGAAGCTCCGGATACGAGCAAGAAAAAAAAAAAAAAAAAAGTCTATGGAAAATTATTGAAAGTAATCAAGAAACGAAGATGATGAGCATAGTAAATTACATAAACATTGGAGTAATTCTTCCTCACTAGTCCCTACTTGGAGTACGGTTTACGACGTTGCAGTTTACCCCCTCAACGATGTCAAGTTGAAAATTATGTGTGGAAAAAGTCGCGTCATTGGGCCCAGTCAAATTGAATATTCAGCAACATGTGGGGCGACCTCTTCCCAAATTTAGTTATGTTTGAAGTTGGTAGTATATAAATAGGACTCAAAAGGCTTCTCTTCCTCCAACCTCAATTCTGAGCTACCTTTGCCTTTTTCCTCAAAGACAGCAAAAACCAAACACCCACATCGTTTTTTTTTTTTTAAAAAAAAAACAAATCTCAGCATTTCTCGTTTAATTGTTTAATAATGGCTTCTTTACTTTCTTCTTCTTCTTCCTCCTGTTGCTCTTGCTCCATGAAGAGCATCACTACTGTTTCATCCATTCCTAAGCTTCCAGTCCGTATTTCCGTTCCTCAAAGTATTCCCACGAAGGAATTGATTGAGGGATTGAGAATCGGAGATGGGTTCCGGAGCATGGAAAACAATGTCAATGTCCCAGTCACAACATCACAAGATCAAGAAACGTCTGCAAGTGCTTCTATTGCAACGTTAGAGCTATATGCTGTATTGGAAGCAGTTGCTGACAGGGTGGAAATGCACCATAACATCGGCGAGCAGAGGGAGAACTGGAACACTCTTCTCCTCAACTCTATCAATATGATCACTCTCACCGCCACCACCATGGCCGGTGTTGCCGCCGCAACTGGCGCTGGTAGTGAAGGTGGTTCAATTTTGGGGTTGAATTTGGCATCCACCATCTTGTTCTCGACCGCAACAGGGATGTTGGTTTTGATGAACAAAATCCAGCCTTCACAGCTTGTAGAAGAGCAAAGAAACGCTACGAGATTCTTTAAGCAGCTCCAGAGTCAAATCCAAACTAAACTAGCTCTTGGCTCCCAGACCAAAGAAGACGTTGAGGATGCCATGGAGAAAGTTTTGGCTCTGGATAAAGCTTTCCCACTTCCCTTGCTCGGAGCAATGCTCGAAAAATTCCCTAAAACTTTCTCCCCTGCTGTTTGGTGGCCGAGAAACTCTCAGAACAGAGCACGAGAACAGACTAAAACAGAGAAAACAGAGCATAATGGATGGAATTCAGCTCTGGAAATGGAAATGAGAGAAATTGTGAATGCCATCAAGAGAAAAGATATAGAAGATTACGAGAGACTTGGCAATATAGTATTGAAGATAAACAAGATTTTAGCAGTATCCGGCCCCTTGCTCACCGGTATTGCAGCTATAGGCTCTGCTCACGGTGGTTCATGGGCGGCGACAATGGCTGCTGTAGCCGGAGCTTTAGCCACCACCGTGAACACCCTGGAGCACGGTGCTCAAGTTGGTATGGTGTTCGAGATGTATCGAAGCTGCGCTGGATTCTTCACACTTACGGAGGAAACAATTGAATCCACACTTGGTGAAAGTGATGTGGAGAGAAGAGAAAATGGAGAGTTGTTCCAAATGAAGGTGGGATTGCAGCTGGGGAGAAGCTTATCGCAGCTTAAAGAACTTGCGAAGAAATCAAGGTATTCTCGTATTGAAGGAAGCACCATTGATGAATTTGCAAGCAAGCTTTTCTAATTGAAAAGTTGTACATGTTTTATAAATTTTGATTGTTTCATTCTTTCATCCTTTGAAGAAATTCATTGATTCTTTATGAAATTACCAAAAAAAAAAGGAAATATTTACTCTTTTGTAAAAAATTATTCATTAATGGAGAATTCCATGCCACAATTTTTGACAACTCTAAACTCAGTCAATTCAAAGAAGATGGGTCCCTGGCTACAAGAAGATGGCCGAAGCCCTGAGGGTTTTGTTTGTTTTTTGAAACGGAGGGTTTTGTTTCTTTAATTTTGTTGTGGGCTCACCGAATTGGGTTTGATGCCCCACTCCGGCTTTTAATGTCTTTAGGGTGCTGCATAGGTCTAATTTTGAATTTTGAATTTTGAATTTTGATTTGCCCTTTTGCCATCTTTCAATTTAGTCCTCGAACTCTCTTCTTGAGCAACTAATTGAAACTTTTTACAATTTTGAAAATTTTTGATATTTTTATCAAGTTTAAATTTGTATGATTTAAAGATTTGTTATAATTTTTTTAAAAAAATTTAAATAAAAATTAGATTAAAAATTGAAATATGATAAGCATTCACTTAATAAAGTTGTTGGAGTATATGAATATGTGAGTGGAGTTGAGAGATATGCAAAGATCTCATATTGATAAAAAAACAAGGTGCTAAAATACAATTTATATGTGAGGTTCATAGACTTAATAGGCATGTTTTTTTTAATTCAATTTAAAATCATGTCTTGTAAATTAATATTTTGTTTAATCAACTTTGTGATTTAATTACACTAGAGACGGTGGTTTAGAGTAATAGTTTAATATTTTATATTCATGCAATTGTGTTTAACTACATCTATTAAATTATATAATTTACTATTTCTTTATCATTAATCTAACATAAATGATCATTTTATTATGTTTCTTTATTTTATTACTATTTCAAGATTCATTACTTTGGTTATTTCGACGAATGTAAATTCCATTATGTAGAAGCCCCGTTGAGGATGTGGACTTGGTCTGTTATTGGAACGTTAAAACTGTTGTTAATAGATTTAGATGTACAAACAATTTAAATAATTTAATAATTATTTTTTTGTTAAGCGAAACAATAAATTTTAAATTTAAGTTGTAGAAAAGGTTAGTAATGAGATGAAAGAACATTAATTTTTATTATACAACTCAAAAATAATAAAAGAGAGATTTTAATATAGTTCCTTCAAGACACCATACTACAGAAATACCAAGCTCTATAGAAAGTGATTTCCAAATTAGGGAAGTTTGTTATTGTACTCAAGGTTGCGAGGATGCAATTAAAAAGATAAATATAATATAATTATAATATTACATAAAATTATAATTTTAATATGTTGTTAAATAACTAGATATAAAAATATTATAAATAAATTATTAAATAAAAAATTCATTTATAGATTTATATGCCAAAATTAAAACTGTTATTAATCATATCATTTTCGATTGAAAAAGGGCTAAAGGAAGGTGACAAGCAAAAGTAAGACGAGTGCATCGCATGTACATGTTGATCTAATAAGAAGGGAAGATTATTTTCAAAAAATAATAATAATGAGCAGGCAAGATAGCCCTGTTCAAGGTTTAGTACTATTCTTGATGTGGCCTATCCTCCAAATTACGACGTAAGAGCTGATTCAAATTCCTTGTTTCGAGAACGTTCTCCTGATTTAAGGGACAGCGTTTATTATTAAGGTTTATCGTGATGAATTTGATAAGTGTAGTTAAGCGTGTGGTTCAAGTTCACTCTCAAAAGTTTTTTTGTTTTTTTAAAAAATCTTGCTCCAATTTAGTAATATTCTTGATGTTGCCTATTTCAATTTATAACGTAAGAGCCTATTCAATTTATGACGTAAGAGTATATGAAATCGTTTTG